GAAACTGACGCCGTCCCCGCGGGTCTCGGCTGCGCCCCGGCTGCGGGCACCCCACCTTCAGTCCTCCGCTCCTGGACACGCACCCCTCCCTCCCTGCCAACCTCTCCCCTCTCCAGCCCCGGCGCCTGACCGGCCGGGAGAAGATGGAGACGGGGTGGGACCGAGCTGTGGCCCACGCTCAGGATGGGGTCGCCAGGTGGGGCCCCGGACAGTGTAGACGCAAATGAGGACGTGCCTGGAGTTGGCGCTTCGACAGAGACACGAGGAACAGGGAGAGAAAGGTCCAGCCCGGCGGCGCCGCGGCCCCAAGTCCTCGCCTCCTTCCCTCACCTCCCCGTGCTTTCCCGCCCCCGTTGCAGCCCAGTCCCTCACTGCATGCAGTTGGGTCCGCCAGGGAGGAGGCTGCCCTGTGCTGGAGACCGGGGCCCTTCGGTGGGGACGCTTCGCGGGCTGCACAGTCTCCTGGCCGAGGGAGGAATTGAGATTCGAATTAGTTACTCCTCCAAATTAAAGACCTCATGTGCGCCCTCAATGTATACAGGCATGAGGGTCATTATGAACCCAGTTCCCTCTCAACACAGGCCTACCCAATTGCTTTCCCTCTGTCCGGCCCCATGCAGGGAGGGAAGGTGGACAGGAGGGGTCACGAAGATAGAGAAATCAGCCATTTCTTGGGTGAAAGTGACGTTTTACCAGCAGAGGACCAGCCTTCTGCTTTAGAAACCTCTTTGATACACTTCTCATTCTTTGGAGGCTTCACTTGAGGGAGATTTTGATTGCCTCTTTAGTTTTCTTCCCCAGCCATCCAATACCCATTAGCTGGACGCACAGTGTGTCCAAGGAATTCGTTATTGATAGCTGTTTCATAAGACTCCAGTCACTGCTGAATATTTAAAAGAGACTTTTCGGCCCTCTTTTCAAGAAGTTGAAGTTATTGGCCTGGGCTCAGTAATACACTCTTTAGTATAGTTGCCATGAATTTATCACTTTTCAGTAGTTCTAAATGTCCAAATGCACAAATAGAATTGGGATATTGTATAAATCGTTTCATTCCAAGAGGAGAGCACACTTCCTCTAGAGCAGTGGTTGGCAAACTGCAGCTTGCGAGCCATATGCGGCTCTTTGGCCCCTTGAGTGTGGCTCTTCCACAAAATACCACGTGCGGGTGCGCACGTACAGTGCGATTGAAACTTCGTGGCCCATGCGCACAAGTCGGTATTTTGTGGAAGAGCCACACTCAAGGGGCCAAAGAGCTGCATGTGGCTTGCGAGCCGCAGTTTGTCGACCACTGCTCTAGACTAATATGATAAAAGGAAGAATCATATCAGACTTTCCTAAAAAGAAGAGGTTGTTACCCTTGCCTAACTAATTCTGCTTATTATTATTTAAAAGAGAGAACAGTGGCAGAGAATCTGGCTTAGGCTCCAGTGGACTACTGCAATAAAATTCTGTGACGTTAAACTTTAAAATACATCTAATTTAAGAAATCTTAATACTTTGATTTTTATAGCACTGCACTTTCTCAAACTCCTTTTTCATCCGTTAGAAAAATATGTCAGACTAGGCATAGAACGGGGGTGGGGAACATCGGCCCATGGGCCATATAAGGCCTGCAAAATCATTTGGTCTGGCCCTGTCAGGGCATTAGGTGTGAGTTAATTAAATGTTTGACAAATATAGCAGGCTAATTTTTTTTCTTTTATTGTTTCCTTTTTTTTTTTTTAACAGGCTAATTTTTAAGTTGATAATTTTGTATGGCCCACAAATGATGTTATAAATATCCAAATGGCCCTTGGCAGAAAAAAGATTCCCCACCCCCAGTCTAGAAAATTGGTTTTACGATACAAGTGGGATGAGCCTGGATCAGTAGTATGTTGGGCTACAGTTAAAGGAAGCCTCTGTTTCTAACAAGGGAAAGCAGAGGCAAAAGACAAAAGAGATGGGGAGGTGGGGAGGAATAATCAGTTTGCTGCATAGGAAAAAAAATTAGATTGATGGCTGGGAGTCACAAGTTTTGGAGCTAGAGAAACAAAAGCGAGGTTGAATCTAGTAGAAGAAAAGATGTAAAATACCAACGTGGGGCTAAATCTAGAATTAGGGTTTTACATGTGGGTAAATGTTGGGGCAGGGATGCAGAAAAAGAAAGATTTAAACCTCCAACTAACATTTTTCTCTGCCTCCTTCCTATCCCTAAGTTAAATAATGGCAGAGACGAGTCTGTTAGAGGCTGGGGCCTCTGCAGCGTCCACAGCCGCAGCTCTGGAGAACTTACAGGTGGAGGCCAGCTGCTCTGTGTGCCTGGAGTACCTGAAGGAGCCTGTCATCATTGAGTGTGGGCACAACTTCTGCAAAGCTTGCATCACCCGCTGGTGGGAGGACCTAGAGAGGGACTTTCCTTGTCCAGTCTGTCGAAAGACCTCCCGGTACCGCAGTCTCCGGCCTAATCGTCAACTAGGCAGTATGGTGGAAATTGCCAAGCAGCTCCAAGCTGTCAAGCGGAAGATCCGGGATGAGAGCCTCTGCCCTCAGCATCATGAGGCCCTCAGCCTCTTCTGCTATGAGGACCAGGAGGCTGTATGTTTGATATGTGCAATTTCCCACACCCATCGGGCCCACAACGTCGCACCACTGGATGACGCCACACAGGAGTACAAGGTGGGGAACCAGACACATGAAGTCAACGTGGGGCAAAGGGAGGAATACAGTAGAGGGAGACTCTCTAGGTAGAGGATCGTAAGCTCCTGAGAGCAAGACTGTGTCTGGGTCTCACTCTGTAGTTCCCTCTAAGGTGCATACACAGGGGACACAAAGTACATCTGCCCAGTTATCCTCAAGCATGAAGAACAGTGGTGAGGAGTACCCCAAAATTTCTCTCTGACCTTTCTAACACAT